CTAAGCCCTAAGTACTGAATGAATTCTATGGTACATTATTAATATACATAATGTAATTTAAATTGTAATTATTAGTATTAACGTCTGCTCGAATGGTCAAAAATATATCGAAATAGTTGTGTATAAAAAAATATATACTATATATATATATATAATATGTACGAATTCTAAAGCAATGTGTTAAGTCCACTAAAGATTTTACAGGTGATAAAGTGACTATGGGAGCTTTTGTATTGCTGACGGGGCGACAAAAAACCCGTTAGCTGTGTAATTTACCAGCATCCGGTCGAGAAAATCTTACACAATGTATGTGTTTTTCTGTATGTATATATATAAAGTAGAAGTATATAAATAAGGGGAATAAAAAAAGAAAAAGAAACTCTGGTCCTGCACGTTACAAATTAGTCGGTTGGCCGATCCCCCGATGATAAACAACAGCGATGAGGATGTTTTGGAGGTGGTTAGGTTAAGGGTGGGGGTTACAGCTGTTTTACACCGGACGTTTTTAAAGTGGTTCGCAAGCTGACACTACGTTAAGTACCACACTAAACCCGCCCAGTAGTAGTAGTAGTAGTAGTAGTATTGGTGGTATAGTTGTAGTTGTGAAGACAAATAGTGGTGGGAGTGTTTTACTGTGTACGTGATATTGTTGGACGCAATAGCAACAGAGTGACTTTAGCTCGGATAATTGAAGTACTCTGTCCTGCCGAAAATCTGTCAACTCGAAACATATTTTAACTTTTTTTTTTTTTTTGTAAATACTATACGATACAGATAACAAAAATACATTTGTTCTACATCTTTGTTTATTATATTTCGTAGGTACATACATTTAACTTGACAAGTGTCGCAATACCTTTTAGCGAGTTAACTAGGAAAAGTAAATACATTATTGACTGTTTTTATAATTTAAATTTTAAATATAATGAGGTATAAGATTATTAGGTTATTATTATTTAAATTTAAATTCGAACAAATTAAAACTGACCAAAATTTAAATTATTATGATGCAAAATACACTGAGTTTAACTTTAAAACGTTGGGTACTTGGTTTTTAAAAATGTAATTTTTTACATTATTTTTTTATTTTTTCTAAAGAGCTTTAAAATAAAATTCTAGTAAAATATATTTGAAAATTGTCGTCCTAAAAGTGTAGTGATGTTTTGATAATGTATATGCTTTTTAGTTGTACAAGGATAAAAACTTTATAATTTTTTATAAGTTAAAACCCTCTTTCGAACCATTTATTCTGCACGAAACAAAAGTTTTCTTTCGTTTTTTCTTTCATTTTTTTTTAAACCATGTTTTAGAAAATAATATGTTAACATTTAAGTCACTGGATTAAATAAACAAGCTATTATTCAATTATATGCATAGACATCTCACTGTTTTAATAATTTTACACATTATCATCATGGAAGCTGTACCTAGTATTAAATGAGTATTTCTAAATAAAATATCAGTACATGTTAATTTTTTCAAGTTGTTCTTTCTTAGTGTTTCATTGTATTTATTTAAATTATATGTAATTGAACATATTAAAAGTGTTATCACTTTTTGCATGAAAATTGTTGTAAAAAAAAAAAAACAATGGTGCATTCGTCGCTCTTCCCTAAATTGACATTCATCATCGAATTAGGAAAATAAAACAATTATAATTTTACATGTCAAATGGTTGGCAAGTAACATGCTCGTTATCAATGTGTACGGAATAGAGAATATTTTATGGGAGTGATTGCACGTGAGAGGAAAAAAATATAATTATTAATTATTATATGAATTTGTCTAGTTTTACCCAGCGAGTTATATTATTTTACTGTTTCCAACGGCCCGTCATTCTGATTTCCGATTTCGTCAGAGGTTTTTTGTTATTTTATAAATATATATAGGTATACATTTTTTTTAATCGTGGTGAAAATACAAAAGCAAAATGAGACAGGTTTAAAATTCCAATTAAATTAACTTTCGTTAAAATTAAATCTGAACAAAAAAATAGTTTAAATACGACTGGTTATTTTTAATCCTCCGTTATTTTRCCAGGTATCATCAATCAATTTCATTATTATACCTATTCTAAAAATCACCAGGTTATCAATTATGATTTTTCTCATAAAATAAGGTTTAAAATGAAAATTATATTTTAAAAGAGTTACCTTATACTAGTCTAGTCTATGACAAATATGGATAAAAAGTAAAAAAATTCCATCCATTTTGATACCTTCTGAAATGTACTTTTTTTATAAAAAGATGGTATATATTATATTATAACCATATAAGATTGAGAAAATCTTAACTCACCAAAATTATTAATAAGTGTTTAATATTTATTTTACAACAGCTACCTACGTTGATTATTTTTAATTAAGTTTTTTCTCTATTATAATAATTTGTTCACTGATAAGTTAAGTCAAAAAAAAAAAAAGTTAATTTAAATGAATAATCGTATCTTCTACATAATATAATAATTAATATATTTTCAATTTTGAATGATGCAATTAATTATTTTTGTATTTTACATAAATATATTTATTTAAATTTTGTCCACAAAGTTATCGCATAATTGCCTTTTCAATATAATTAATTGCAGTTCATTATCGTTATCTCCTTAAATATTAATTGACCTATTATCCCCCATATGTGTAAAACTATCCAAACAAACATATTTTAAAATAAGGTATTATTAAACTTATGTAGTTCATGAATTGTGTTCTCAAGACTATTATATGGGCCCCTTGGCTATATTAAATTCTACTTTGAGATACCGTCATAACGCGTACATTCATGCTGCATATCTCATGCGAATTCGCCAAATATTTGCAGTGATGTTTTTATTCAATTTTGACAACCTCGAGGCTCAGACGATCTGACGATCATTCCAAACATAACTCGGTCGATCAACAGGTGCGCACATGTGTTCTGAAAGATGTCGATGTTAATCTCGACGACTGGTTACTGGTTTGCAGATGACAAAATTTCCATAATTTAATCACTGGAATTTATCAGAATTATCCGAGTGTTTTTATTTCCTTTCAAGAACGAAAAACACAACGTCATTTAAAAATCTCTTTTAAAATGTTTTCCATTAAACATTGGCATTAAAATAAACATGTTTTTTTTTTTACTTGGAAACTTTAAACTAGAGATAATGGCGTTCGGTGTATTCCTTAACAAACCCAGACCTTTATAATACGCGCATAACGAAGGGTATGTACAAAAAAAAAATTCTTTATACTGTAGCGGCGAACTGCAATTTGTTGCTTGTTACTTAAATCGAATAAGAGAAAATTACGGTWGTGCCCTCGGAAGGAATGACACATTAATAATTGAATGGACGGGCTTACTTTTCTGTGCCTAAAGTTTGGTACCACCGTCCGCCGTCTATATATAAGTATATTAAATAAATAATTCTCACTGGTATATCAAAAATCAGCAAAAGGTCTCTTGAATAAAGCCGATAGAATATTCATGGGGCCAATATCCGAATCTCCCCTTTTTCCATGTGATGTACCGCCATAGTACTCGTACAACACACCTCAATGGTCGAATTTCCAAAGAAAATCCCTTGTTTGATTTTTAATCATTGCCCGCACATGTTTTATATTTTTGTTCTTTTGATCTATTTAGGGGTTGTATCGTCGACGTCGTTTTGGTTGGTATCAAATATCAGCATGCCAGCAGATATGTTTTTGAACCTCAGTCGTGTCGAGTTCATATTATATAGAGTATAGTACCTGGCCATTTTTGAATGCGTCCCGCCATCGTATACATGATAAAAGAACAACAGTTTTTCGAAATCTAATGCGCAATATTATATTCTAAAAGAACAATAAACATTTTTTTTGAAAACAGATCCTAGATTTTGATCTCGTTTGGTACACCTACTGTATGAGGGTGATTTGACACTTGTTTTTAACGCAACTTAAACATTTGAACCTAAATACGTTCGTTATAGATAAATGAAAGTGATATTAATATAGCTTTTATGTGTTTATTTGGTCATTAATAAAATATGTGATATACATTTGCTGATGTACCGTTACATTTTATAAATGACCTGTACCTGAGTTATGCATTTAATATCATTAAATTGATGTTTGTGTGTAGGTATCTACAAAATTKATAAAACGTTAATGTTTTCATTGGTGAAAACACGCATATTATAAGTATTATGAAATGTCAATATATTATTGKACTGTCGAGTTACTCTGTCGTCTGTATACTTTCTCATAATATTTTTATATACATAATCACTGTTTTGTTTTTAAGAGTTGTAGGTATTAAATCGATAAGAATAGTATATTACATGCACCTGATAGGTTTACCAAAATAACGTTCCAACTTTTTGTTTTATTATTATCTATTATATACTTTATTACTTTTTACAACACGATCAAGGATGGGAAATATTGTCCCAAGTTTCTGATAGATATTATCTTGCATCTACTCTTAACGTTTCTTTATTACACCAAACAACTATTAATTTCCCCGCTGAAACTTCTTATTTTTAATTAATTCTGACACGTCTCTGTGCATATATATATTTTTTAATTGTATATTTATTCATGAAAAAGTGAAAAATAACCGTTTCACCGTCGGTATTAATATTTATAAAGGGACAGACAATAGGATTTTGATTGATGTCAAGCGGTCGGAAAACAGACATGGGATCCTAGTGTAATAAGACTGCTGTGTAAAGAATACATTTGCCGAATCTGGGAATTATTTTTGCAATTTAAATTAGGCACCTTTTTCTGCCGTTAGAAGACCGAAAAAATATAACCCTATCTTTTTCGTTAAATAAGACAAAGGTTAAAACCACGTAATATAGTTTATACTTTATWGAAAAAAGTACTTTGGGCTACGTGCTCYTATTGAAGGTCCCTAGGTTCATGTAAACACTTAAGCTATTAAAAATTTAACGCATCTAAAGTCTTGGTCGGATAATTTTCCGGTTTCTGTTGGTTTGGGGATGTTGCAAGTGGTATTCCTAATATTTACAGGCGCCAACTTCTCCGCATTTCCATTTATCCAATATTTGACACGTAAGTATATAACACTGCAATAAATAACCTTTGTTATTTGTCAACACAATAAAGAAAATGCGAAATATTTCAAATATAAATATTCATGTCGCTCTGAGATAGAAAAAAGTATTAAGTCAAGTCTTGAATTCATTTCTACTGTTTTAGTAAAAAAAAACTTCTATGAATAATCCAAAGGTTAAAAAGAGAAAAAGTTATCTAACGAATTTATGTTGTTTCGTATATGTCAGCCAGAGATATATAGCTTAAGTGACCCAAAGAAGTTTGTTTAGAGAAGTATCAAAAATTCGAAGTTTTTGTAACCTGGAATACAGTAATAATAATAATAATAGTAATAATAATATGACAGTATAACTATATAATATAATATAATATAATATAATATATACTTACATTACTATACACATACTCCCGTTAAGGACTAGCAAGTTAAAAAAATACGGAGGATGAATGTTTAAACTATCTCTCAGATGCCTTGAATGTCCAAAATGTCATTCCGTGGTTGATCCTTTTTTGTAGGTGGGGGGTGGAGGGTGGTGCATTTTTAAAACACTGTTAGACCATGGAAGGCTTCATTGTTTTAAAATGGCTTGGATTAAAAAGAAAAAAAGGGAGTTATTATATATAGCTTATAGATGCTCTGTAGTGTCACGTAAAATGGTGGTTTAATATGAATCCAAATTTGTTATTCCGTTACGGTAAAGATTATCATACGTATGGCTTTCACGGATTTCAGTAAATGASGGACAAAATGAAAAGTTTTGGAATCTCAAAGGTTCGTAGTTTTAGAATATCCCGACTAAGTCTTGTTAAAACTTGTTGAAAATAGTTTTCATTGTAGTACAATTATTTAATTTGGGTCTTTGTTGTATGTATAATATATATACATAAATATTGTATATGTCCTGTGGCTTTTATATTTTTATATTTAGAACTCAACGTTGGAAATTACCATCGTTTTCAGGCATATTACATTTAAACGCAGTATATATATTATGTATATAAATGTAAAACGCATTATTTGGTCGAATTACGTATTTTATCCAATAAGTTTTATCCATCAAATGTTTGACAAAGTAAATCTCCGAGCATAATATAAACTCATAATCCTGGTATTTTTCAAATCATGGAAAATAATATTCAAATTTAATAATATAAAGATTCAAAGTTATTATACCTGCTGGCTGCTATGATGAACAACAAATAATTTAAAACTATCGGAAGGGAGAGATGAGTTTAATCATATTAAAACTGTAACTGACCCTAAATCGTCGTTGACACAGATATTATGTTTGTACGAAATGTAAATTACTATTTTTAATGATTTAAATCACTATTTTGCAATTCAGTTTTCGTTATWTTTCTTAATTCAATAAATGTAGATCATGTCACGAGAGTTATCTAGGAAGTATATTACTGCAGTGTATTTGTGTAGGCGACCTAATACTATAAAACGTAATCTCGGTATTACATTTTTGTCGACATTCGTGACGAAAAGACAATTGATTGTCGTAATTTGCATGCTAGTAACTAAACAAACACATAGGTATACAATGCATTCATGTAGCCTATAGTTAATTTAAATGAATAATAATAATAATAATAATAAATAAATGCAATCAATAATTTTAAAATGTGTAAAGAACGTCACCATGCGTAATGCTAAAATAAATAAAAAATGCACCAATTTAATATTAAAGAATTAAAAATACATACCTTCATATTTTACAATATTAACCATTCACATTTAAAATCCATTCTACAATATAATTATTTTTTAAAAAGGTTTTATTATAAAATTATAAAACTCAAGTATAAAATAATTAGACATATAACTTTTAGTATTTTACAATTATATTTATTAGCTTTTTAAAAAATCAAGTAAGTATATATCATATACATTTATATGTCAATATAAAAATACTTTCATACTTACGTATATAATCAGTTTTTAAAATAGATTAAGAGCAGCGTAATAAAAATACCGGTATAACAATTTAAAAAAATATTTTAAATTTTTTACTCTTCAAACAATTGCTTGAGTAGTTACGTCGTGTTTTATCGTATACGATTAAGAACTCATAATCAGAGAATAAAATAATATCAAATTTAACTTAATTACTATATATATGAGAGTAAATATTATAATGTGAGTCGTGTTAACTATGGTATACCTATGCAATAATAAGAAAAATATGCCCTAACCATCCGAATGGTATAAAAGCAAAAAATTGGCTTCCGAAAAATCAGCTCGATATGTAGTTGCCATATTTCGAACCCTCGCATTGGTTGCGCATATTAAATAGTGCAGTGAACATACAAAATATTTAATTCCAGTAACTATACATATATCTTAAAAGTCATATTATGTTTAGACATAATAAAAGTCGTGCGAGGAAACCGTCGCCGTGAGTTTGGAAAGTTGTATCGGCAGCGTCTCGTGCGTCGAACAGAAATTCCATTTATCGCGACTGTGTAAATAGTTGCAAATATACATTGTACTTATTTATATATTTTGTTTKCGTGTCCGCAGAGCCACCGTCGTTGACAGTGAAGCCGAGACCGCAGCACGCGAAGAGCAACGCTGTGGCGTCATTCTACTGCGGCGCGCGTGGTGACCCTCGGCCGACCATCTACTGGCGGAAGAACTTGAAAAAGGTGTCAGCGTCGCTGAGCAGGTATGAGATCGTTGACAAGGTGGTCGGCGACAGCGAGACGGGCTCGGTGCTGCGTATCGAGCCGACCAGGGCGCACCGGGACAACGCGGTCTACGAGTGTTTCGCCGAGAACGGTGTGGGCGACGCAGTCAGCGCGAACGCCAAGCTAGAAGTGTACGACGGTGAGTGACCATTTCATTAAAACCCAGTAGTATTATAGTTATATAAGGTTTGGGCAGGTTGATTAAAATATTAAGCCAACTTGGCAACACAATCGCCAAACAAATAAATATTTATTCAGATTGCCTTACTACTTTAATCCTCGAGATACGGTCCTCTACAGTATTAAAAATAGGGTATGACTTTCCATCAAAAGTTTTCRTATCACATTGAAGATAATATTGTTGTTTTAAATTATAGCGATTTTAATGGCATTATAATATTTATGTATTAAATTATGTAGTTTTAACGAATACTACAGTATCAATGAAATTTACATAAATCGACGATCAACGTATTTATCATATTGTACTATTTAAATAAAAATAAGCATGCCTAATTTTTTATTTTTCCCAAGAAGAATAGACATATAAGATCAGTGTAGATTTATCAACAATTTATCTAGAACCTACGTACCTATAATAACAATGTTGACGTATATTAGGTACCTAGCCATTAAGAAAAAGTTCCTGGAATGATATTTCCCTCCACTCTAACTCACCAATAATATAATAATGACACTGGATAAAATATCTTGTGCGTACGACACGATACGTCGCGGCTAACCGAACTCAGTAACCGCGCGAATTCGAAAACCTCGGCCGYCCGTCCGTCAGTCTGTYTGCGGGTGGTGTGGTGCATGGAAAAGAAATAATGTTTCTTCACCCTCCCACCACCATCAACCACTGTGTTTGTTATTCCTCTATGCCTCTCCCCCAACTTCCATTTCGCAAAGGGTTTGCCAAGTGTTTGTTCGTTCAATCGCCCCCTCCAAACCCCCCTCCCATTAGACTACTACGGTTATTCGTACGCCGTTCCTGGCGTGAAACTGGAGTCGTCGCGCTTTATCGTAGCCGGTCGCCTACTACTACTCACTCGTTCCGTCCGCGCCAGAGCTGCTGCCGTGCTGCGAACACATTTCCTATTCGAAGTTAATCATGTAGAAGTTTACAATAATATAAAATTCCCTTTTACTCGATTTGCCGGAAGCGCACTATTTCTGCGTCAAAAAACGCATTCCCTACACCCAACGGCGGCGGCGGCGGCGGCGGCGGGCGTCGTGTATTTATTTATTATCTCGCCTAACGTCAACGGCAATGTTCTCTTCTGTACGGAATGCGTGTGATTTCGTTTCTTTTCATTCTCGTTTTTGGTCCGCTTGATAATATCAACTATTCCTCTCGACCCCTTCCCCCGTCGACCCGTTTAAATGATTCGTCATCGGGGTTTGTCGGGGCGACGACGGTAAGTACATTATTTGTGTTATAGTGTTTGCCCACACCTATATATGGCGTCGGCGAAGCTCGGAAACGTGAACACCACACATCCCCAAGCCACAGCCACTCCAACTGCACATAAAGCTATAGATTCTTCTACCCGCCGCTATATGGTCGTCAGCTTTCYGTCGTGGAGCGTCATCCTTTAAGACCCGTCCAGGCGTTTAATTGAATTTCGCACGCCGAACAACCGAAGACAGGGACGTCAATAAAATTTTCGATTCCACGAGCTAACTGCAGGGTATATCTGTCACGGCTCGTATAAATTCATTATTAACGCGTTCGTCCTACTGCAAGCGGTCCGTTCCGTATTTGCGAAACATTCAAAAGTTGCCGGCAGGTCCTCCCCATCGCCGTATCGCCGATGGCTTAATAATAATAAATTCATAGTTATATACACACTCCTTATCCTCCGGTGGTATGATTCCGTCACCTATATCCAACATTAAATTAAATGTCCCGCAAATGCCCGAGAAGATCGTTGTTTGTCCAAACACTGAAATGTGCGAATTTCCACTGCTCGTAATATCATAATAATAATATATTATCTTTATTATTATTATTGTGGAACCGACCTATTCTATATTAAATAATAAAACATGTTTTTGTCAAATTGATTAAGCCGAACCTCCCGTTGTGGTTGTATTATAATATCAGCTAGGTGGGTATATTCTTAAAATAACTACGATAATTGACGGTGAATAAACGATACGGGACTGGGTGGCAGTATTGTGYTAAACATTTCTCAACCGTTCCTGGTTTTTTGAACGGAAGAAAAAAAAAGGTGGGTAGGTATATTCTTATAAAACGTAAAATGAAGATTTTCCGCTGATCCCAGTAAAATCGTGAAAAGATCACTCTTTATTTTATTAACAATAATGTAGTCAATGATTTATGTTGCACGTTTTGGCAACGCAATTGAAACGTATAACTAACGTTAATATGTATATTATTTATGTATGAAAAACTTTATTGAACATTTAAATAGGTTTGATCGGTTTATTTGTATTCTACATTGTTATATCAATATTATATATCAAGTTGGATTTCCTAGTGTTACCTATTTATCATTTTAAACAAAATAGTAAGATGCTTAGTAAAATAGTCAAACATAAATTGTTAATTATCTGTGATCATTTGAATTTGAATGATGACATAAAATATTCATAAAAACCGATTGACAACCAAGCCACTTATATATTAAATTAAATACTGTAATAACTACGTATTACTAACAATTAAAAGTATAACTAGCGCTTTATCACGTTTTCGTCTAATTATAACTAATTAATATAGGACTAAATAATAATCACACTAGGTATTAAAATTTGTATTGAATAATCTGCTTGGCGCCTACCATGATGAGTTCGTCAATAATTAGTGGATATTATTAATGTTCAGAAATATTGAGCTTTTAATACTTTTTTTATATTTAAAAAAAAWATTATATTTTATTTTGGTTTTTAATCATTTTATAATGTTGAAGTATCTATATAGTAAGAATTTAGTGATTAACAGGTAGTTGGGGATGGACTGAAAATAATAGATATTATTAAAAAGGTCGATGTGTAATCATAAAATTACGTTTATTTAACACGACCCRTTTAATTTGTGAAAGTTTCAGGAAAACACATTTAAAAAAAAAACACGAAAATACCAAAGTTTGCATTAATGRATACCTAAATATGTAAAATTATATTATATAAATGATAAATGATATTGTATAATTATCTGTCTTTATATATCTGATATTATGAACTGAAAAATAAAATAAATGGTACGCATACTTCTAAGAATGTTTATAAATTATTTATAAGGTGTTGTGAGTCGTCCCCTCACGTATCTTCCTACGTATTTTAATATAATCAGACTTCGTGATTATGTGAGACTATATCAACTGTAAATTCTAAATAATAAATGCGTAAAAATGCTGAGGAACTTGGGAATATGCTTTGTTGACTGTTTTATTTATTAGTTGTGGTTCGTCCCACGACATGCTGCACTCGGTTCCTAAGCCTAAGAAAACAGGTGACACGTTTCGAATCAGAAGTACAAGGTCAACGTACATATTACGTATTATTACTATATGCTCATAATTGTATTCAGTAGAGCGAGTTTAAATAAAACCTCCTAAATAAAAAAATTATATATTCTAAGACATATAGGTATAATGACTAATATAATAAAGATATTTTAGCAGCCAATTCATCTTTAAATTATTAATTTTACTGATTAGTAAAATAAATATTTAAAAGTTAATATTTTAATATTACGTTTATATATTCAGAGAATTGAGTTGTAGTTTAATATTATGGTATATAAACTATTATATCATCCATGTGCAGTATCGAGTAATAATATAACCTGAACATTATTATTTTTGACAGAAAATCAATGTAAAGTTCATAAGTGTATATATACCTGTATACATTTTAAAATAACGACTACAAGACCCTAACTTAGTCTTGTAGTAGTATGCGTATGATAATGTAATTAAATTTTTTATTCACTTAAATACTTATTAATGTCATATATTTTGGTCATGATTTATTCACTATCCAATTATTATAAGATTTGTATTGGTTCTATTTTTTACGTACAGTTAAAATTTGATGTTGATGAAAGATTGAATTTATGAGTTTTACAACTACGAAAACCTGAAAAATTATGAGATTTTAACAGAGTAAATTATAAATTGCAACGTAGTGACTGGTTAGACATTCGTGATTATAAGTGAATAATTAAAACTAAAGTAATGTTTACTAGTCAGTCATATTTAAATCATAATAATTTAATGCCTTATATAGATGTTATGATAAAGATGATGTCAGACTGAGACCATCTATCAGTCGATGGTCAGTTTGTAAAATAATAATTTGTTTGTATTTTCCGAGTCTCGGGTTATTTATTTCGGTTAAAATTRATAAAAAAATAATTATAAAACATTTCATAATTCTAAATATTTTATAATGGTTCTATAAATTTTTTTCTATTACGTATTATTCTAAGAATTATCAAATTTAATTATTTTTTCTGTATTGTTTGTTCGGTAATAGCCATTGACAAACATATGAGGTATCTCCAATAATTTTTTTGCTAAATGCGTTTCGTTGATCTCAATAATTTTTAAAGAGGCTCCCTAATCTTTTTTCGGGTAAACGTAGTGGAAGACCGTTTTTGGACGCATGTTGTTGACTGTAGAGTGTGGAAACTTTTTTCTTCTATACAGTCGACCAGGCGAATTTCGTTTTGGTGGGTAGCGRAACAGGCAAGGAAAAAGTTACCGGCCATTAGAGGTGTATAACAACAAATCACATTAAAACGGACCAGATGCGACCCCGGTGTGAAAAGAATGGCGGAGCGGGTGTAAAAATAGCGAAGAAAATGAAAATTAATGGGAGAAAGTTAAAAGACCGCGGCGACGACCTAGCGGTAATTTTTCCCGCTCGGTTACAGGGAGAAAAACTTGCGTGGAGATGACGCCGCTTTTTTCCCCATTCCCTTCATTTTTGGCGGTTTACTGTTATTATAAAGTTTACACGCCTGAGGGTTGATTGATACTGTACGTGCGGCGTGCACGATTAGAGAGGCGACGCGCTCATTTATCATACCAGAATCCAAAACCGACGTTAATGTCAATTAATTCGCTAATTCTTCTTTTTACTTTTTTCCCTTGATTCTATATT